TGACTTTTTCTTCCAAGAAGGATGCCATAAGATCTTCTTCTTTTTCTTGACCTTGTGTCCATAAGTATAGGATATATATTTTAAGGACCTCTGCTTTAATGAATATAGTTGGGTTTACATTTAAAATTTTTGTGAGAATATTATCGAGTATGGAGTATTCTGTTAATCTTAGTATCTGATTGGATTTGTCTTGTGTGGTGAGAGTGTTGAAAATAATTTGGGTAGCCCATGTTTCTTTTCTCTGATCATGTTTTTTAGCTATTCTAACTATTGTATCGAGGATGTATAGCTCTCTTTTCTTAGCAATTCGCATAATTTTTCATTTCTTTGTCATATTAGTTATGTGTAAAGAAGGATAAAATGCTGATTTATTGTTTTGTTTATCCTTAATTTGTTTACTTATTTATATTTAGCAAGGTATGTGTGGTTAATTGTTTGTTGTCTTGTTTGGTATCATAATTTATAACTCAATTATATTCAGATTTAAAATTATAATTATTATATTAACTAATATCTACTTTTACTATTATATCCGAGGTTGCTAAAATTTTTTGCTACTTTTTCAAGAACTATAAATTATTATTTTTTTTAAAATCATGCTAACTCATTCCTATACTAGCATCAGGACCTTTATTAATTATTAAGATGGATTCTACGGATAATCAAAATAAGTAGTTATCCATACTTTCTAAGGATTTACAAATCAATGAATAATGTAAGAGGTATTTATTTATATCTCACCTAACCAGAATAGGAGAACTATGTAATTATCTAGTGTAGAATTTTTTTAATTCTTAATTAAGTTAGAGAATCTGAAAGAGTTTTAACCTACCAATTTAATAGAATACTGTTTATTTTTTAAATCTCTTGTAACTGAAATAATACTTCTTAGAACTATGATTTACTGAATAACTTATTGCTATCCCTGTGTGAGAAGGCTAATATGTCAAGAACTTGCTTAATATACCTGATACTACCATTGTTAGGGATATAGAATCTTTATAACTCCTGTTAGTATATATATTTTTTATAGAGGGCCTGTCTTGTTTTTTTTATGATTGCCTGTTCTTTTAGCAATTCATCTTTACTTTTTAAGGGAACCTGTCTTATGCTTCTTTTTAAATATTGAAATACCTTATTACTCAACTTTGCTGCTTAGATAGGAAATCTGTCTTGATCAAGAATGTTGTACCACTTAGTTTTGCCTTATTTAGAACCTGTTTTGATCTTTAGCTTGTACACTGGACTGATTTTTTGTTTTATTATTAGTATAATAAACAGTCAATTCCTTGTTATGGTCATACTAGGGTACTGAATTATCACTATAGTATATATGAGATCTTTGTATTATTGATGATTAAATTTTCACATGGTTCTTATATGATATTGAATTTTGGATTTTGTGATTGTGACCTGGGGATACTACCACTATGCTATAGGTCCATGGATTAAGAACTATAAATTATACTAGACTATTATCTCAGATTAAGATATAAAGTTTACTTGTTACTTTTGACAAGCACTTTTTAAGCATATAAAAATTTGAGCTATAATATTAATTACTCTTTATTTTTAGATCAATAGTTAAACTAAAAGAATAAATTAGATATTAGAAGAACTTATTTAAATTTATAAATTTATACTATTTTATAAGTTATTTCTTTGACTATATATAAATTGTATTTAATTGTTAAAATAAAAATTTATCCTATTTTTTAAATCTTTTTGCTAAAACTATATAAGATTTTTTTTAATAACTTTCATTAATCTATTCTAATATTAAGCAAGAGAAATATAAAAATAAAATAATTTTGAAAGAAAGTTCCTTTAAAAAAGATTTATTATCTAATTAAAAGAATTAAATATTCTTTTCATAATATAATATAGAAACTATAAGAAACCTGAAAAAAACCTTAGTCAAAATCAAGAAATTAAAAAATAAGAATATCTTATTTTAAGAAAAAAAAGAATATACCAATTTATCTTACTTTTACTTAAAACTAGACCTAGATATATATAATATAATTTTAGTCAATTATAAATAAAAATAATAATATAAGAAAAAATCTAAATTATACTATCAAGAAGATTAATTCTATTTAATATAAATAGTAATTATTAATTGAAATATAAATAAATATAAAATAAATTGTTTTTATTTTTATTTATTATTTTTATTTTTATATTATATAAGTGTTTATACCAATAAACTATATGTCTTATATATTTTTAGCATGTATTTTTATTAAATTTATTTATATATTAAAAGCATGCATAAATACATATGCTCTCTTGACTTGAATAAAAACAACTTAATATTGTTTTCAATTGACAAAGCTTCACTAAATTTGATAAAAACATTTTGAAATCTTTTATAAATATATATCAATATAAAAATTAAAAAAAAAAAATACAATTCAATAACTAAATCCAGACAATAACTTAGGTATTTTCACTAGTACTGTATAAATATATTTTATATAAAGCTTACGTGGGTCAAATAAAGTTTCTGATAAATAATTTTTACATAAATTTTGATATTAAATATCCTTTTATAACTCAATCATTAATATTATTGTATAAGCTCATGGGATAATATAATGTATAAGGAGAATAAAATGATATGGTAAAAAGTGAAAAATTCTGATAATGCTGAATACAAAGAATGTAATACAATATATATAGGGTGCATATGTATAGGTTTTTTGTATTTAAATTCTTTTCTCTTTTCTTTTTCTTTTTTCTTTTCTTGTTTATTTTAAATTAATTTATTTCATTTGATTTTTTAATTATTTTTCTTTTTTAAATTTTGTCCTTTCATTTTTGTCTTGTATTTTTTTTTGTTATGAATTTTTTTTCTTTTTATTTTACTTTTATTTCTGTACTTAATTCGTTGTTTTATAATTTGCATTGTTTTTTTATAATGTGCGCGATTTATAACACTGCATAAATAAAAGTAACAAAAAACTTATCGTATCTATAAAGACCAAAACATTTAACTATTTATTGAATAAAAATTTGATAAACTAAAATACATGAAAGTTACGCGCTTTTCAACATATAAATAATAAAAATTTCGAAAAAAACCAACAAAATGAAATTAAAATATAACAACGATAATTATTGAAAATTTCACATAACTTAAGCCATCAATATATTCAGTTTCAGAAATCATGAGCTGTGGATGATCTTTAAAGTTAATAAGTCGACTAGTATAAATAGCTGATGAATGTTTTTCAAGTGCCAGATTATTATACAAAGAATATTAATGTCGCGTTTTCATCAATCTGTTTGTAAAGTTCCGAATATTTGTAGCTCTCATAATCACTCCATATCCTTAAAATACCGCGCAGTTCATAAGAACTTAGGCGCTCGTGGAAATCGACATCTAAAAATTTTCACATCAATTCGACTATTAATTTGGGTGAATTTCTTGGAATTCTAGGTCGTTTACCAAGGCAAATTGCATTTACAAGATTGTGATCGTGTGGAATATTATGAAAAGGGGGAATTTCAGATATCATTTCAAACATAATAATCCCGAATGCATAAACATCAGCTGCTTTTGTATATTCTTCGCCACTTAAAACTTCCGGTGCAACATATGAAAGTACACCATACAAATTTCGGTTAACTTTGCTATTTCCATATTCAGCGGCTAGATAACATAGTTAGTTTTTTTCGTAAGAATTTCGAATAATTTGAAAATATTCTTGCATAAACTAAAATATAGTTAAATCATTTTTCGTTAGAACATGAACAAATTTGGAAAACATGCTTGTGAAAACTTGCCTATAAGATCGAAAATTGATAACATGCTTGCATAAACTTACTCCCTAAAAAATAATATTGTTAAATTATTTTCGTAAGAATTTACGAAACAAATTTAGATGATATGCTTGTGAAAACTTTCCTATAAAACGATCGATAACATAGATAAAGCACTTTTCGTAAGAATTTCGAAACAATTTGAAAATATGCTTCGTAAACTTACAGTCTATAAATCGACAATATATAATACAGTTAAATCATTTTTTATTCAGAATTTGCGAAACAAATTTAGAAGGAATGCTTGTGAAAACTTACCTATCGTTAAAGCACCTTTCGTAAAATTTCGTAACAATTCAAAAATATGCTTGCATAAACCTACCCCTATAAAATGATAGGGTTCATAATACCATTTATATAATACTTAGCCAAAAATAAACAATTCATAAAGTTAATGGTATAAATAAATTGGTAACTATATAGTTCAATTACAAATATTACAAAAATAAGTATATTAATAATTCATCTTAATAATCAATTAAAAATTTATTAAAAATTTATTAAAATTTTATTAATTATTTGTTCAAAATCCATTAATAATTTTTAGCTATCTGTCAAAATTTATTAATAATTTATTAATAATTTATTAATAATTTATTAATAATTTATTAATTATTTATTAATTATTTATCAAAATTATCGAATAAAAAAATTTAGCAGTGTAAAATTATAAATTAAAAAATTGATAAACCTAATTGAGGTTATATTTATGAATTATAAATACGTAATTGGCGTTAGATCAAAGTTGCATTTATCAAGAGTTGACCTTATAATAGCATTAATATTGTATAATTAGATATTATCACATCGCAATAAATGCTTTTTAAATAGCATAAGTCTGGATACCATGGGTTTGGGTAACTTTTGCCTACATATTAATTGAAATGAATATGGCTAAAAATTAAAAATTTAAGCGTTCGTAATTACAATATAAAGCACACTGGAGCCCTTCATTAAAATCAACCCAAGTTTTTGTCTCTACATTTTAAAGGCGTCAATTGTTTATTTGAGTTAAATCCCATCGCATAGAATAGCATTTATACGTACAGCTTCGTTTAAAACATAAATTAATAACTCCAAATATGATACGCTTCTCAATGCTTGCTCGTTTCTTTCTTTTAATCCTTATTTCCTACTTTCCTGGAATAAACTCTGCAAATATTCCCTATTTAATGTCCCTACGTACGCCATCTTCCTCTATTCTTGGTCCGATCTCTACTTCTCCACCACCAACTTTCTTCGAATCAAAACCGCATCCACAAAAACCCGCAAACTTAGATCCTGCATTCGAAAAACTTGCTAAGCGTATTCCTACTAATAAATTTTATACGAACTTGCTGGTAGGCAACGCACAGTCTCCCGTTTACCCGTTGCCATATGCATTAAGGTTCGAGAGTGGAGTTAACAATGGGACGTATGGGTTTAGTATTTCGAATACGGACGAAGATAAATTTGTAAGGATGCACAAATCTGAATGGCATGTGTATTAATGTTATATAACTTCTAAACCGGCATGACTATTCTAGGTGTTTGGACCAGATGCGAAATACTTCTATTCGATTTACACTCAAAGCATCACAATGAGCGCCATAGAGTTCGAAACCACACCAAAACTTCTCCTTTCCGAACCCGACAATTTCTCTATTAATGCAGTGCTCGTGCAAAATTCTTCAACAAATGCTGCTCTTACTCAATCACAAATCAATTTCCCGATTGTTAGAGGCATGGCATTTGTCACGGCCAAGTATGAGAACCTGACCCCCTTATTTGAGTCAGGCGTTGGATTTAGCGCACTCAGTTCCCCTATTACTTTGAGTCGCGGAGTTATAAAATATAGTGTCACATTGACAGACGGAAGTAAATGGTTAATTTATGCTATTAATAATAAAGAAATCGGCGCGCTTAATTTAGAAAAGACAAATGCAACTAGCATCCGGTCAACATCTGGCGTTTTTAATGGTATTATTCAAGTCGCTAAAGTGCCTCAAGGAAACTCAGTGGCCGA